TTTGCGGGCGCGCAAAAAAAACAGATAATGTTTTTATTTTAACTAGCAATTGATACTTAAATATATATATGATATATACAATTTACTTGCCGCCAGCAAAAACTTGCGCAAATAGATTGTATATATTTATATTTTTTTTAATTTCATTTTCGATGATTTTTTTTAGTGTTTTTTTGCTATAAATTGGCGCCCCATACAAATAATTTTATAACAGCGTTTTTTCTTTTTGGCGGCAATTACAAATGAGATGGATCGCCGCTCATATTATTTGCAAATGTATTTACAAAGCTACTATTTATATAACTTAGCTCGTGGCTAATAAAAGCACTAAAATTATTTTTGCCGAGACATTCACTTGACAAGATTTTTTTTATATTATACACAGAAGAATTTTTGCGCAGCTCTGACGCGACAAAGTCAGGGTCTGTTTTATTATTTTTGCTGTAAAAAGTGGCAACACTTAATATGTTTTTTATTAACTCTCCTCTTTCGTGGCGCCCACAATTTTGCGGCCCCGCAGTAAATTTGCCGGCGAGCGGCGTCGCATCAAATATCTTTACTAGCTCTGTTATTTTGCCAAAAATATAAAATAATAAATCGCACGCATTAAGGTAGATTTTTTTTGCGTCTTTTTTGCAAATATACTTATTTTCCGCTTCCTTGTTTATTATGTTAGTGATAACATCTAGTTTTTTTATAAATTTTTCCTTGAAGTGTTTTAAAATTTCATTGAAGAGTTTGCTGCACTTGTCTTTTTTTGTTTTAGTGTCACCGCCATAATTGTCGCTACTATATATAATTATAACAGCTTCGCTTGTGTATAGCAAATTCAATAATTTATCACAGAGCCCACACAAAACTTTTATGGTGTTTTTATCGTTTGCATTTTCGCCGCTGCCGCCGCTATTATTTAACTTGCGCAGAGATTCATTAATCACACCACAGGAGTATTGATAAACATCTTTTACTTCGCCGCGAACAATAGTGGCGACTTTATTTGCTTTTATTGGCACCGGTGTCACGTTAAATAAGTAGATCGTTAAATAAGTAGACAAAATGATATTCTGCGCATGCGTTAGTTTACGGATACTTATTTAACGTAGTAAGTCACGTTAAATAAGTACACAAATTGAACAATCAAGGCATTATATGTTAACCCAGACGAATAAATTAAAAAAAAAACATACGTTAACCGAACTTTAGTTCGGTTAACGTATTTTAAACGTATTAACGTATTTAAACGTATAACGCATTTACTTTTTCACGGGAAATATTGTTTTACGGCATTTTTATAGTGATAATTTACACTTAAAAATATTTAACTCACGATGTATATTCTATTCGAAATTTTATCTTTGTTGAATAGTATAACAAGAAACATATTTTTTAGCAAAAGTTTTATTTTTCCTAGGTCACTCACTGGATAAGTGTACTAAAGCAGACATACTTTAATGATATCAACAATTTTCTAGTAGCTGATAAGAAATGAAATAGTTATTTCATCACACGTGCAAATTTACTGCACTCTTTGGTTATTGAACAACTTGCGCATTTTAGTAAAATTAAGCAAACTATCAGAGTGCAACCCGTAATACGGGTTATGGTCGGTTTGTTACAGAATAAATTGTGAATTTATAGCGAGTGTGCCAACTTTTTGTTCAATTTACCTGACATTTTACTTGACCCTCGAGCTGTTCTCCACATTTTATTTTAAAGTTGAGAAACCTTAACTTCAGAAATAATTGATCTATACCTTTTTAGAGAAACGCCTTTAAATTGAGGCTATAAAATAATTTATCAATTAATATCTATCATTATTTGAATAATTTACAACTGACTTAGGTCATGTTAGTTTGAGGCAGAACCATATTCCTCGACATTCCCAAAGTTCAACACAATAAGTTTTTAGTTACTGACACAAATTAAATAAATTATTAAAAAAATTAAACTCTTCATCATGGTTTGAATTGACGAAAATATAAAGTAACTTCTTGTAATATTTTTTATAATAACATGAACTTTAATAAAGATTATGTGTTAACTTCTGTAATGCGAGAGCTATTAATTTTATTAGTTTATTATAAATAACTAAGCAATTGATGACAAAAACGTTTTAAACAAAAATTTTTAATTTACAATCAAACATGCTATCACAAATAAGAAAAAATATGTAAACTTTGATCTTTCATATTGCATCAATGCGTTATATGACAAACCTAAAATAAAAAATTGTTACAGGTAATTAGATATAAAAGAAAAGAAAAAAAAACTAGAAAACAATTTACCTGCTTTTGGTAACCTGTTGTGATACTGCAGTTGCTGTCGTGATGCAGCAGTTCTTGTCAGTGTTGTTTAATGTTGTTATTTCATGTTTGCTTTTACTAAACTTTAGTTAACTTAAAAAGACACTACAATGGATTTAAAATATTATTACTTAAAAAACAAAATATAAAATGCTTCAAGGATCCAAACTATAAACATTAAAGATAAAAAACGAAATTGAGATAAAAATAAATTGTATTTAAAAAGCTAAATATTGTCTTGAATTTTAGTAAATTTTAGAAGCAGTCAGTTCAATAAATGAAAGTCCTAATGCATAACTTTTAACAATAAAATGCAGCATCATTACATTAGAATAGCACAATAATAATAAAATACCAGGACCTAAATTTAGTTTACTATTTCTTACTGTGTGAATGTTTTAAATTAAAACGACATTGAAGAAAAGACACACTTCATACTAAACTGAAACTTTTTTTTGAAAATAAGAACAAACTTGGGCATTTTCGGAAAAAAATTTGATTTTTGATCATGGAATTACAATCCTATATAGTATAGAAATATAGTATAACATAAATAGTATACTTAAATCGTAATGAAAAAAAAAAAATGAAAAAAATACCTGCTTTTGTGCCACAAAAGTACTTAACAACTGCATTGATCAATATATGTCAAAAAATGAAATCTAAGTGTGTGCCAGAAGGATTTGAATCTTTGAATCATTCAAATTGTTTTAACATTCATTAACATGAATGTTAAAAATGTTAAAATAGTCATGGCATCTACATGTGAGAACTAAGTCTAAACTTTCACAATATTCTATAACAAATTGATTAAATATCTAATTAAAATTAAAAATAACATAATTGTAATTTTTAGTATTACTCTTGTCATAGTAGTAGTAGTAGTTAGAGTTAACTGCTACTACAACAAATGCATGTAAATAAAGAACTGACTTTAATAACTGCAGCTATTAACTATGTCTTATATCAAAAACCCTAGTTGATAAAATAAATAACTGATAACATTAAGAAATAAACAACTACAAAGTTAAAAAATAGCAAATCGTCATGCTAATAACAAAATAAAAAACCAAGCAATAGTTGACCTAAATTAGCCAATTATACAACTTTGAACATCTATAAGACATAAAAAAAAAGAAAAAGAAAATAATGAACTTAACTAAAACATAAAGTACATAAACAAACCGACAATAAAAAACAAAGAAAACTTTTTTATGCATATAGGTTGAATTTAAATATTCAAAAAAGTCATATAAGCAAAAAGACACCAGAAATAACAAGATACATTCCCCTTAATGATGTAAGAGGAATTATAAATCCATATTCAGAAAAACTTGAATGACAATCAATTATTATTTTTTTGTCTGCACTTACGAAAATGATTGCAATCAATAGTAAAGGCACACCTTTTATGACCATCTAAAACAGTAACAAATGGAAACATCTCTAATTTACCATTCTCAATACATTTGAGGTAATGTTTCCTCATATCATTATGTTTCCATATGAATAAACTTGGGTCGATACCATTACACAAAGCTGTTGCATTTGCTATCGCTAAAAGCCCACAATCATTTCTATTTTGTTGCATTTGACAATCCATTACTTCAACAATTAAAGAACTGCTTGTATGACAATTCAAGGAGGAACGTGCAACTGTATGCACTAACAATGGTACATCACATTCATTTGAACTATTAAAGAGTGAATCATAGAACTGAACACGCTTTGAATCTGAAAGATCATCAGATGATACATTGCTTAAAAGCACACAATGTGAATTTCTAATATTAATTATTTGTATAAAACTTTCTGAATAACCACCTGAATTAAAACAACTTAAAATACATGAACTTTGAAATCCAGATATTTTAGGAAACTAGTATGAAAGCAAACTTTGTGCTATATCAATCAAAGTGTCGTCGAGCCAGCCAGATGGGTTTTTTAAAATATCTAAGGCCTTGTTTTTACACTGTGTTGACAAATTAGAATAAAAATTACTGGCAACAGGAATTTCACAAGAAACTTTAGAAAAATTTAAACTTCTACAGCTACTATTAGATTTAACACTTTTTAAAACACTATCAACTGGCTTCACTTCTAATGATTGGATTGTATATTTCATTGAAATGAAAGCGTCCCGGCGTGTTCGAGCATTTCCATTAACCAATAAGAATGGTTAAAACGTACCACGTGACTTGGTTAACCAATGATATGGTTTTAAAACGTCAGAATCTGATAGGTTAAACGCGATGTATCATAAAAAAAAAAGTGTTCTATCATTGTTGTAGGTTAAAAAAAGATTTTTTCCGGCATTGTTCTGTACCACGTGACCGTTAAGTAACCAATGTGCATGGGAATCGGACGTCATACTCTGCGTCATAGTGTCGGTGCGCATGCGCACCCCCCGCAAGGGGGGTTGCGCGGCATGCGCCTTCAGATCTTATTGTTTAAGACTGGTGAGTGCTTCATGTTAAAAAAAGTATGTACTGCGCAAGCTTAGTGCGTCAAAGCTGTGTTAAAAATAAAAAAAATAATCAATCTATTTAAATTTAAATCTTTTTTTTTATCTTTTTATTTAAATAAAGTTAATACGCGTAACGCATTAAATAAAAAGAGAAAAAAAATGTTTATTTTTAATATTATCATACGAAATTCAAAATAATAAAATCTTAAAAAAAAAAAAAAATCGACAATGAATAATAATAACAACAAACCAATTGCTGTAATTATATTGTTTTTATTTATTTAGTTTATATTTTTATTTATTTATATTATAATATATTAATTTTTTTGTTTTAGATTGTAGAACCTTATAACCCTGAAGAGGATATGACGGAGGAGGAAAGACAACAACAACAAAGAGAAAGAAATGAGCGAGAAATTCAACAAAGAATTCGCAATCTTTTTCGACCCATTGCCCCACCGCCACCAGAAGCTGTAATTATATTAATTTTATAAATATAAATTAAATTTTTTTTTTTATGTTATATTATTTTATTTATATTATATTTTTTAGATTGTAGAAGATGAACACGAAGATGTAGAAGAAGACGATGAAGATGATGATATTGAAAATAAAAATCAAAGAAACAATTACGAATTGAATATACCAGTAGTTTGTAATAATTTAATAATTATTTTATTTGTTATTTATTTAGTTATTTTATATTGTAAAATTATAAATAATTTTTTTTTTTATAGTACCTTCAATTGAATCAATGTGCTTAGGCTGCTGCCTGTGCTTTTATCCGTTGCGCCCGCGAAGACCATGTTGCCATCGTCGTTGTGGTATGCGAGGAGCTTGCACGGGCTGTTGCATTTGTACTTTCAATACAATTGAAGCAATAAGAGCGGCCATGCAAGAAAAAATTGCAACTAAACGGCAATATTGGCTTAATAACCCAATGCAATATCAATCTTGATATTGCATTGCAATATCAAGGTTGATATTGCAATATCAATATCTTGATATGCAATATCAAGATTGATATTGCCATTGGGTTATTAAGCCAATATTGCCGGTTTTTTTTAATTTTTTTTTTATATAACTTTGTAAATAAATATTTTTTATGTATTTATTATTTTTTTTTATTGTACATAGTATTTTTTTTTTTTTAAATCGTACATAGTATATTTTGTTATTATTTTTTTTGTAATAAATTGAAAAAAAAAAATATTTTTTATTTAAATTTACAAAAATGAGTTTAACAAAGTTAGAGTATAATAAAAATATAGATTCTTTAACTGAATACGGTGAACATTTAAAAAAGCGTATAGAAAAGAAATCGTACAATTGTTCTTTATTAGATAGCATTCGCAAAGATAAAAAAGGATTAAATGTTGATAATATAAAAAAAGATTATTCATATGATTCGATGGAAGAAAAAGAGTTTATTAATAAAAATGACTTATTTTTACAACAAATTTATTTTTTAATGAACAATTTAGCGAGTAGATATGTTGAAGATACAGAAAATATATATCCAGAAGATAGCAAAATACTAGAAACACTTTTTTGCGAATCAATAAAAGTTTTACAAAACTTGTATTGTTATTTTATTATTATTATTAACTATTTTGAACAAAAAGAATACGTTTGCGTTAAATTAATTAAGGAAATGATAAAGAAATTAGCATATCTTCATTTTATAGAACAGTCTCCGCTTTATTTAAATAAAGATAAAAAACATTGTTGTGAGAAAATAAAAAATGTCATTTTTTATGCAGCAAAATATTTATTGTAAATATAAAAATAATACAAATATAATATTTTTTATTAATATTTTCCTTGCGTTGGTATCTTTGCGTTGACATCTTTGCATGCTTCTTCATAACTAGGCGGAGCTTCAGGTAGAGTTGAATTATTTTGTTTAAATCTTGGTTCAGATTGGAAACATTTCATATTGGAAAGTGTTGTAGGTGATAAATAAATATCTTGCGGTACGTATAGTTTTCCACTTTGATTTAAATTTTTATAAAAACGAGAGTTTTTTTCGTCATAATGTAAGTTTTCATATTTTGCATGTAAATCATTTCTACCTATTAGCGGTGAACAATAGATAAAATAACGCAATTTGCTTTCCATACTAGTATACTCATTTCCATTGATTTTAAGAGAATACATTCGAATATAATTTATTAAATCTAAGGCGGTTTCAATTTTTTCAGCACAAGCATAAGGAATTGCCAAAATATATTTTAATGCTTTAACATTAGCATTAACTAATTCATTTGACAATGATATTAAGTCTTCCATTTTTTTTTAATTATCTAAAAAAAATAAAATGTTTATAGCTTATATTACAAATTTTATTTAAGTAAAAAAAAAAATTATGAAACATTAAAAAAAAAAAACAATTAAAAATCAATTTTTTTTTTATTAATATAAAAAAAAACAAAAACCAAGATTTACATCAAGTAAAATAAACTTGAATATAAAGTTTGTCATTGATTATATAATTTTTGACTTGATCATGCTTGATAAAGTTATCATAACCACACGTAATGTTCGCTTCATAAATGGGTCTGTCAAAACTTTCGATATGGCGCGATGTTGGAAAGCTTAGCAACATTTCATGATGATTATTTTTGATGAAAAAATGAACCATATTCTTCATCGGCCAGATTAACATGTGGTCATGTTGAGATTTTAAAATCTGAAAATAAATTGCTAATGTTTCTGGTTTTTGATAACCAAATATTTTCACTCGAAAACAATAACCTTCTTCGGTAAAACAGGGTTTGCTATAATACGGTTCATTCGATTGCAATCGTAGTGTCATATTATCTAAACAAATAAAAAGTTTCTTTCGCGTAGGTACATCATAAGGTTGATCGCATTCATTTTTTTTTGTTCTAATTCGTACTTAAACGATTCAACAATACTTCTCAGTTTATCTTTGTAGCTAGAAAAAAGCGCATCAGTTTGTTTTCATACCATTTGTAAAATACCCAATTTTGTTTCCAAATATTCAATTTTTTTATCCGTCTTTGATCCTTCTTTTATTTTTAAATTGAGTGCTGAGTTTACATAGTTCATACTTTCTTGAATCAATTGAAAATCTTTCATTTTTCTATTAATTTGATTCTCTATTTTCTTTATATCCTCTTCTAACTTTGTCATCTTTTGCTCATTAAAAATGCCAAAAGATTCGTTGCACAAAGCGTATTTTCGATGAGGATGCGGACCACCGCAATCACCGCATTCAGAAAAGACTTCTTCCATTTCGTTATCATTAATCATAATAAAGTTTTTTTTTTTCTTTCTTCTTCTTGAAAAAACACTGCACTGCAATGCACTTGATGCTTTAATAGTTCATGTATTGTGAAATCCTTATCACAAAAACAACAGGTTTGTAAATTGTTTGCCTTTTTTTTTTTAATTTTTAATCTAAAAAAATAATTAAAAATATGGTTATATATATAAATATATTAGAAAAAAAAAATTATATTAATTAAAAAAAAACACTGCATTTATAATCGACTTTTTATTTTTATTTTTATACAGTTACAATAATAATTACAATTCCCTCTACATATTTGTATAATTTCAACTCGTTTTACTTTTTGTTTTTTCATACGTTTTTTCATATTTCTAGTTCTTTTTTTCTTTTTTACATTGTATTCTGATTCTGATTCGCTTCTATTAATCGTCATGTCTTCATCTTCTACTTGAGGTGGTGACATTTTTTTAAATTTTTATAAATTGGCTAGAAAGAAGTATTAAAGGTGGTAAAAATAAATTACTTTCAACAAATTCACATTGATCCATCATCCATTGTAAAAGATTAGAATAAATCAAAAAAAAATGGTTTTAATTCTGTTAAGTGAATGGTGGGGCTATAATATCTTGTATCGACTAACACATCTAAAAGTATATTAAATGTAGCTAATAAATCCTGTTGCATTTTAATATAATAAGTATTTTTATTTTCTATATATGTTTCAAAACAATGACAATAAAAATAAACAAACGTCTTACAAAGATTTCTTGTAAATATAAATTAGTAAAAAATGGAGCAATATTTTTAATTGTTTCATTAGCCATATCCATTGTTTTTGTACATGCTAAATTTCTTTTAACTATTTCAAATAAAGTTTGTATTTTAATTAATAGTTTTTGATGAAGGTTGTTTACTTTTTTTCGTTGTTTGAATAAACTTGTTACATCTGGATCGATCATATTATATTCTTTATAAAATTCTGAATATCGTTGTAAACGCCATGTATATTCCGTGTAACTATCCATTTTTTTATTAATAACCTAAAAAAAAGTAAAAAGTTAAAAATTGTCAAATAAAGCATTATAAAAATTATTGGAATAAAAAATAAACAAAATAAAAAAACAATAGTTAAAATAATTTTTTTTTTATTCTAAATTTTTAACAAATGATATTTAGATATTCTCCCAAAAATAGACTAAAATATTCGATTAACAATTCAGCATTTTCTACATTGATTTTTTTTTTTTTTTAAATTATTAATAAAAAGAAAAATGTCCATAAAAATGTCTCTTTTTTTTTCAAATTAAAATTTTAAATTCTTTAATATCTTTATGTTATTTTTGCAGTGATCGCAATGTTGCTCGACTCCACTATTTAAAGAATTCAAGAAGTTGTCTTCGATATTTAAAGCTAATGCCAAATGTTTCCATGCTATAGAATCATTTTGAAATAAAAACCAACATTTAATTCTACTTTGCGAATAACTTTCCACCATTTTTTTTTTCAGCTTCAATGTTTCTATCCATCAACGCTTCTAATTTAGAATTCATTTTTTATATATTGGCTTTAAAAAAAGTTAAAAAAAGTTAAAAAGTTAAATATGAAAATAATAATTCAAAAAAATGTATAAAGTATAAAATAGAAAAGAAGTAAAAATGAGTAAAAAAGTATATCTTTCATTTAAAATTTTTTACAAAATTCATTTAAATGATAAACAAAATATTCTTTATCAATAACTCCCTCATAATAATTTGAAAAGTTCGCAAATGTTCGTGTTCTGTTTTCTTTTAAAACTTGCTCTTCTTTTTCTTTTAAAATTTTTAATTTTTCAACTAATAACATATGTCCCTCAGGATGCATTTGAAAAAAATATCTTATTAGTCGATACATTTTTTCTTGAATTTTACTTTCTTCTTCAATAATAATTCCAATTTTATTTTGTGAATCCAAATGTTCCGCAATTTCTATCCAATATTCATGCAAATAATGTCATAAATAAAATTTCACTTCTTTTTCTATATCCATTTTTTTAAAAAAAATCTAAAATTAAAAAAAAAATTATAAATTGTTCAAAAAAAAATTTTTTTTTTTTTTTTTTTAAATAAATAAATAAACAAAAATTACAACAAATTCATTTTTAATTCATCAAATTTTTGACAAAAATCATGAAACAAATCAATTAATTGTTCATATTCTTTAATTTCTTCTTGACTTAAATTTATTTTAAATACTTCATTATTTAGTCTTTCTTTTTCATTTAACATGATGGATAATATGTGATCTCTTAGTTTATGGTATTGTCCAGGGTTTATTTTAAAAAATTGTGTAATGACAAAATTCATTCTTTTATTATCGTTAGTGAAATAACAGTCTAAAATTAACTTGTCAAAACATGAATATCGAAATTCATGTGCTAGTAATCTCCAATAATTGCTATATTCTTCTTTACATAAAAATGATTTCATGGCTTCTTCCATTTTTTTTTAATAGTATATAAATAATTTGTTAAATCAGTTTATAATCTAGAAAAAGAATAATTCATTTTTTATAAAAAAATAATAATTTATAAAAAAAATTAATAATTTTTTTAAATAAAAAAATGGCTAGAACACGTAAAACTGCTAGACATGGAGTAAAAGCTATAACAAAAACCATAGCAACGCAAACAGATTTGCGTCAAATTCCATCTCATTGTAAGG